GATCATTTAATCCTCCACTGTACTAAATATGATTTCCTCCGCAACACACATAAACTAGATCTTCTCTCAAGGACAATTTAAAAAACAGTAAAATACAGGACTTACTCCAATTTATAAAAGATACTAAACTAATAGAACTGGTAATGTAAGCTTTACCTACTCCTTGATGTCGCTAATAACTTTGTAGTTGATGTGACAATAAACCTTAATCAAAAAAAAAAAAATATATATATATATAAAAAGACTGAAGAAAGTTAAAAATGAATTATAAATCAAGTCTCAAAGGTATACTTCAGGAAATTTGAAGGTTGATAACGCTGTTTCTTAGAAACCGATAAGGATATGTTTCAGCGTCATTAAATCTAATCTGTTAAACAAAATAAATATCGTGTTGATGTAAGAAACAATCACGACATCGAAATACACGAAACGCGTGAAAATCATGTTATTGTACGTTATAATAATTAATTTAAAATAAGTTCCCAGTTTCTTTTTTATTTTTAATGTTTAGATGAGTTATGTCTTTTAAAATATAAGATTAGGAAATATAATTATAGTACAGTTATAAACCCATTTATTTATTAAATATTTTTAACAATTTTTTTTAATATTCATTAGATTTATAGTATTTCCTTATTAATTAATTGATTATATTTTCTGTCCCATTTGCTGCTATAAAAAAACTCTTAGTTTCAGTTTTTTCTCATTTAAAGTATACTCCATTTTTATTATTTTAATTGAATTATGGATCAATTTGTAACAATTAAAAAATTATTTGGTTTTTCGTCAAATAATAAGTTTCGGTTGAAAAAAGTGCTAAAAGAAGCATGGAATAATATGAAATTGAGGACAGTTGAACAAGATAGAAGATAGAGACACTTTTTAACAGACTTCGAAAAAGGAAGAGGTTACTCAATTCGATCAGTATATATTTTCAAGAACATGTGTAAATGTTCAAAAAATTTAAGATTTATAAACTATATTAAAAAACTGCAACTATAATTGTGCTATTTAATTGTTGTGCTACTTATTGCTAATGTAGACTGATTAAACAGTTAAATATAAAAATTGTTTTTTTCTTGTTTAAATTACTCAGTTCAAGTATTTAATCCACGACTTTTAATTACAAAATTATTAACTTGATCCTGGTCCACAGTCGAAAACAACTCTATCATTATATTAAACAGTCATTAAAATTAAGGGTGACTTGTTTATCAAGAGGATAACTTAAAAAGAAATAACAACTGTTATTTTTTTACGAAAAAATGGTACAGATGTAAAAAAATATTGTTTATAAATTTGTTAACAAACAAACCATTCGCTGTTATTTTAAAGGCATTCATTTTCTCCTTGAAAACATCCTAATTCGTATAGTAACCTCAAACTTTTGATAAGTAGTGTATCTGTGAAATAAAGTACACAAAACGTCGTATCAGTAGACATGATTGAATAGTCTGTCAGCGTTACAACCAGTGTAATTGCATTCGCAGAGATTCCTATTTGTTCCATCGAGCTATCTCTGTACTCTCCATCGACATTACGCCATTGTTCCACGCAACAACTTTACACATCCACCTAGACAATTGTATGTTATCACGTTGTATAATATTAGGCTGTTCAGTAATAAAAATCAGATTTGGATCGTAAACTAACATGAACAAACTTACAGTATTATAAAAGTATTTTAAGACGATTGATATTTAATTCTTTAAAAAATAGTATCCAAAAATCAAATAATTCATGTTACGTGTAGATATTAATAAAAAGTTTAATAGTTTTGCAAAATATAATTGCATTTTTTCAGTTATGTAGGCGTTGAGTGAAGGGAGTGAGAGGGTTTCGTCTCCCCGGACGCCTTGAGTTCGGGCCGGGGACGCTAGGTGGCGGCGAGATGATCGGTGACAATGTTCTCGCAAGCGGTCGCCCGGCATACAGTTCGAATATATAGAAGTTCCGAATTGCAGTATGATAGGTGGTGTCTGGAACAGGGATCGTCAATTGTCAGCCCCACTGGACGAATCTGACAGACGATCCTGACACGAAACGCCTTTTTCTCCCCTCTCCTATATATATTAAAATATAAATTTTCGAATTTTTGTGGGTTAATATTCTATTATAAAATAACGTCCATATATTGATCGTCTAAGTAATCCTTTAAAGAATATTTATAAAGAAATTCTACATTACATTTATTTTTCCTTGGCAGATATGAAAACGCCCCTTTCACGTTTTAAATCTTCAGAGTTCCATATGGAGGTTGAAATACCGGCGCTAAATCTTGGCAGTATGAAATTTCAAAGCGGAAAATACGATAATTTTCTTCGTAGTAACTCAGCACGAAGATAAAAAGTCATTGGAAATAGAAGGAAAATTACAGTGTAATCTATTGAGAAGGTCGAAAATACAGGCAGACATTGTATGCACTGTTAGCTAAGGTCGCGTTCGAAGTCTGAGTGGCAGACGTTCGGCCATATTTTACCCACTCTTCTTACTTCTTTGGCTCCTATGCCATTTGTAGCCAACTCTCTATAACATTTCATTATTACGGCCAGGCCGTTCGTGATTTATCTCGAGGCATACGTTTACGTTCGGGAAAGAAGGATCATGTGGCGCTAGAAACAAAGCGGTCAAGAATGGAATGGTGGACGAAGGGAACGACTCTAGGACGTGGGTAAGAAACTTACTCGTGTGTGGAGTACGCAATTAAGAAAATGAATTCGTGATGGGATTCAAGTTTACGGTTGCGACCCTGTAGATCGGTCAGTTTTTCATCGTTTAACCTTCTCGTCACGGAGCTTCTCGTAATCGTCGATTGCTTTAATTAACCGTTGCGTTATGCTGCAGCAGTTCAGACTTCGCTTCGTGTTTTTTCAAACCGCCTGATTGATTTAGCAAGCAATTTGAAAGAGCAAGCAATTAGACCACTTTGATAAATAACCCTCGGTCGGCGGGCCATGGAGAGAGCCCCAGTTTTAATTTAATTTAGTATTTCATATTATTTTCATTTTCTAAATTTTACACGGTTCCTTTAAAAATTGTTCTTTCAAATAATATCCTTTTGTATGGTTTGTAAGTTTGCATTTCGACTGACCTAGATTCTGCTGCTAGGTTAGAAAAATATTGCATTTTTGGGAATTTGTTTTTAAGGCGTCTTTGAGGTATAATACCTTCAAAGAATCAAATTTAATTACCTTAAAGTTTATTATCTAAAAGAGATAATTCCCAATTATTTTGGACCTATTCGAAAAAGTAGATACGATATTTTAATTTTTATATTGCATATATTGTTCTTTTTTAAATTACACTTTTTTAAATTGGAGGAACATAAAAAAGAGGGGCACATGTCATCATTATAATATTTAGAAAAGAAACAAATTAATGAAAATTTTTTTACACAATGGTATAAAAAAACGATGGTTTATATAAAACGATGTGTGGTATATACCTGTTTTTCACTCAGCCCTTCATTTTCCAGTACGATATTTCAAAAATTAATCATACAATTAATCCCAAACTTTGCATATACGTTCATTACAAACATGAATTATAACTGCATTAGAAATATATAAATATATTCAAATAATGATTAAAATGAATATGACAGTGGAAATGTACCAATCGTTGCAGATATTTTTTAATTTATTCTAAAAACTAAGACTGGAAAAGAATTTAATTACACAATTTTATAATAAAAGAAAAATAAATTTGTTGAAAATTAAGGAAAGTGATCTTAAGAATTTGAAGTTTCTGTATTTTATAAGTAAAATATGTATACATATCAAAAATTTTACCACAAATAATCAATAAAGTAGTTTGTATTTTTCCTTACAATTTCTGTTCGTATTGAACGAGAAAAATCACTTGACATTGTAAGTGCTGCGTTTAGCATTCCTCGCAACGTTTAACGTGTACTCGCATCGTTTTCTGTAATTGCGCGCATCTATCCGCATTCTCTTCAATGTTTCGGAACAAAAAATTTCTTGCGGTTGGCGACATTTACCTTATTCCTTTTATTCATAAGAAATTGATGCAACTCACGATTTGAGTACTTCATAGTACTTACATTTTAGAAATTAAAATTTTGATATCTTCATTTTAGTATTTTGTATACAAATTTTGAACTATTCTTGATTTGAAATTAATGCGAATACCTGAAAATATCCAAAGTAAAATTAAAAAACTATTCAACGTATAACCATTCAAGAAGAGTCACAAAATTTGATACTGACGATATGCTTGTTGAAGTAAGTACAGCATAGAAACGTTTTACAAGAATTGTAAGTATTTAAACAACGCAAGTGCAATGCTAGATCAACTAAGCAAAATAAGCACGCGTTTAAAACACCTGGGAAAGAAGTGTAATACAAAAGTTTTCTAAATTTCAAATATTTTACATAGCATTACTAAGTATTTATGTAAAATTTAATTATCTAATATTTATGAAATGGAAATAATATGAAATACAAAAGTAAATTAAAATTGTGGCTCCTCTCCATGGTCCGCTGTTCGAGGGTTAAGGGGGTAGACACGGGTAATAGTAGCGCGTTGACATTATCGGCAAAAATTCGTGATTCTTCTCAAAAATCCTTCTCGCAAACATTCTTTTTATGTAAAATGAGGCTATTTGCAAAAAATTCAGTCGAATTGCATTTGACAAATTTTCGGAAATACAGTTGTATTAACCACATATTTATGCAATCGTAGTAGATTATGTAAGAGAATATCACGGATATGTACAAATAATTACATTTTTAATTATATTGTATACATATTTCTTCGGTCTATACCAGTTTTCTCCTCTAGTAAACCCTCTACTTTTAACTAACGGCCATACGACTTAGGACCACTACCGGTTCTCGTCCGATCACCGAAGTCAAGCTAAGTTCGGCGCGGATAGTACTTGGATGGGTGACCGCTTGGGAACTCCGCGTGCTGTTAGTTCTTTTTTTTCTCGAATTAAAAAAAAAATTAACAGCCGTAGTCGATAAAACTCTCTTCCATTTAATTTTAAATAATTTTATTATACAAATCATCGAATACAGTTTGATTACAGTGTATACGATAATTGGCCCTCCATATATGAGGTTGGAAATTTTGAAGTTTCCCAAATTTGAACGCCGCGCATAAATGCGTAAAACAAAAGACTATCGAAACTCATTGCTAGAATATATGTAACACAAGCGAGCGCGAGAGCGAGTTGATTCAAAGTTGCTGGTGAGTAAAATAATTGCATGTTATTGATTTAATGATATGCAATATGAATTATAATCAACGCGTTGGATGCCATAGGGTGACCGGCACCGCAAATTACATACACATGCCTGAATAATTAAAAGAAGACAATAGAGAAACATTATTTTAAATAATATCGCTATTATACAAATCATGTAAAATAGCAAGTAGAATGCTTGAAATTAAAAATTTGAAAATTAACTATTCCCATTCTTAATAATTAAAGCTTTAATACGTCTCACAACAAATGCTCATTTTCACCGTAGCAGTCAAGGTGTTAAAAATTAAAAACAATTTTATGAATGATTCCTCCTTAGCTATTAAATAAAAAAGAGCTTAAAATTAGAAATATCATAAATCTTGTAAAATCTGTGTCTGTCGAAGTATAAAAATTTTTTGTGTAACAATAACAGATTCTGTCCAGAAAACAAACGACAGCGGAAGAGAAGAAAGTCAATCGATAAGTGGCGCAGCTTTCGAAAGCGAAAGTCCTCGTTGCTTCTACAACGTGTACTGTACACGCGTTCATGTGTACGATAAAAACATTGAGCAACCGGATGCCGTAGCCCTGGCCACGAAAATCCATTGGCCTCTTCTCGGCTTCCTGCCCAAGGCCTTGAAGAGTTTCGAGTACGCGATTCTATTTTCAAGTGTGCCTGTCGCCGAGCCACCACCGAATCCTCTCTCTGACTGAACGCATTTTTTTCGTGATGTAGCAAATTGCTCTAAATTCAGTCCCCTTTCGTGATACTTGAACGCAGAAGCAGCCGTTTGACGTCACAAGGGCTGTGACATTTGTTCGAGCACAAATTGGCGGCTAGTTTGACGGTCATTGTTTGCGTTAACTCTTCGGGCAGATGCTGTTGTCCGTAAGCGAAGAGTTATTGCCTGCAACAATATTTCATCTTGTTTTGCATCAAAGCTTGCTTAGCTATACACAAGTATACATAATTATCTATATTTAGACCTCAGAGCCAGAGTGTATTGGGTCCACTTTTTTGAAAAAAATTACGTTTTACGTGTTTCCTGTAACAAATTTTTCACTCTTCCTGATGATAAAAATTATTTTCTAAATAATTCTTCTAAATCGTTTAGTTTTTTATATAGTAGTGTAAAAATAATATTAGGTCTGCTTAGCTGTATACAAGTGTGCATAATTATTTATGTGTATCTGGACTTCAGAACCACAGTGTATTAAGTACAATTTTTTGAAAAAAAAAAGACATTTTACATGTTTCCTGTATAAAATTTTGTACTCTTGCTGCTGATAAAATTTTAAGTCGTTTAGTTTTTAATATAACAGCGTAAAAATAATATTAAATCCATATCTTGTTCCAAGCCAAACAGTCCATAAAAAATTTCAGGGCCAAATAATTTCAAGTCCAATGTTAGGTTAAAATAATTCTGGACTTGATACCTGCTTCAAAAGATACATCAGAGCTATATAACAGTTTGTGCAGGCTTATGATATTAAATCACACAAGAGAAGATACAAAATTGGAATCATACAGTATCATGTCAAAATATGTTGATACGTCATTGAAATATTAAATCCATCGTCAAAGCCAGACAGTATCATTTGTTTATTTCAAAAAGCGTCAATATCCAGTACGAGATTTTACTTTTAAGCAATAAAACGATACATTCTTTATTTGCGTTAAAAAAATTACGCACGTGTCTCTAGCGATTCCAAAATTATAAGGCTTTCGCACCTTTGATTTGCTCTTCTTAAAGTTTAAAAAGTGACTTAATACGCTCCGGTTCTGGGGTCCAAATATACAAATTGTACCAAGTTGCAGCCCTCTATCTAGTCGGGGGCGGATGAACGAAAATAGAAAATCACCTTTTTGGTCAATTTCTCTTATTCTACAATTAGAATATGAAAAATTCTGAAAAAAAATCAAAGTCATTTCTATTTATGGGGCACATATTATAGAATTTTAGTAGATTTTTATGGATTTTTAAATTGAAACCCCAAGCTATAAAAAAAATCAAAAACTTAAAAACGAAGTGATTTTGTATGCTTATAAAAAAAATCCGTAAAATGTTATAACAATGTTGATAGTATGCCAGAATTTTTATTAGATTATTTTGAAAGCCTAAAACTACTCAATTTATCTATGAACTGTGAAAGAAATATATTTGTTTATGAAGGGTAATGCACATAGAAATATAATACGTATAGAAATAATTCATTTTGGAGTTGGAAAACATTTCTAACTATAACTTTGAAAGAAAATAACAGACTTTATTGTGTTATCAGTAGAAAAAAATATGTCATTCAGCAATTATATAATTTCAGCAGATACTATACATAGAAGTACAGTAGATGCTTGATAATTTCCCGCCATATAATTCTCCGTTTAAACAAGCGCATGAACTCGGCTCTTTTACCTAGATAGTCGGTGAATGTATAAGTGCGCCATAGAAACAAAAGAAACAGTGGAGAAGGCAAGTATGCCATTGGTGTTCGATAATTCCCTATTATTTGGAAGTGCTTACCTCCAGTCTACGAAACGCGGAAAATTATCAAGCGCGTAGAGTACTGTAATTGCTATTTGAATCTTTTTTAGGATCTTTTTTTTAAATTGTAATTTCTTTTGTTTATTGCTGATGAATGGCATTGTATTTGAAAAAGGGAAAGAAAGAAAAGCTGTAAGTGCCATTTAAAAGAAAATTATTTTTCCTGAAATGGAAGTTTATATAAAAGTCAATGTCAGTAAATGTGAATGAAGATGTTATTACAATTATTCATACAGTTTTAAGCATTTCTAGTAAATGAAAAAAAAAATAACAGGTTGGTGAACAAAAAATTGTTTTCCTCAGAAATTTAATTTTAACATTTAGAACCTTGTTTATTTTCACTTGTCATTTTTCTTTACAATCAGACAATAAAGTCTGTTATTGTACTACAGAAACATAGTTGAAAATGATATATACCTGCAAAATTAATGATTAGGTAGCGGATATTTATGCAAATATACATTTTCTAAAAATACATTGAAAAGTATTTATTTTGTAACACTAATTTGAAATATTTTTTACGTTCAGAATATTTTATTTTACTTCTTTATTTTTAGCTCATGTTTAACATATATTTCAAATATTTCCATTTGTCATGAATACATAAATTATCTACAGTCCGTTAATGATTTTTTGTAGCGATGTTTACTTGGACTCTTTTTTGTTTACTCCATGCTTTAGAAAATTGACTTCAATTTTTTTAAAGATTGATTTGTTAGTTTAATCATATATGTAGGATACCGGTGGAAAAATGCATTTTCGTCTCGGGATCGTCTGTCAGACTCGTCAGTGGGGCTGACACCAAATGATCCCTGCCTCAGACACGTACCATACCGCAATTCGGAACTTCTATACAGGGTGTCTCAGAACTCGCGTTGGTCCCGTGAAGGGGTGGTAGCTGGGGTGATTCTGAACAACTTTTTCCTTTGCAGAAAAGTTGTTTGAAGCTTCGTTTATTGAATTATTAAGGAAAAACACTGACCAATCCGAGCGCATATAGCGCTCTAGCGATATAGCGCGCAGGCTCAGGGACGGCAGCGTCAGCTACGAAAGCGAGGCTTGACGTAGATCACGAACGAATGGCTCGGCACCCTGTTGACATAGCACAATAAAAAAATTGAACTGGTTGAACATTTTTAGTTGTTGTTTAAAATGAATACGAATCTTGTATCTGTCATAATGTAGAAAAGGAAATTCTAAACATTCTAAACAACAAATAAAAATCTTTGAAATGGGATAATTAATAAAAATTTGAAAACAATTTAAATTAAACTTACCCATTCGTTCCTAAATTAACCTGCTATACTGAAAGCAGATAATTCCCACTGGGTCACTGTGTCGATCTTGAACATTCGAAGAGGGAACAAATTACGAAGAACAGTTGATCTCCAGACGAAATCATTGAACTCATTCAACCACACGGTCACTATCACTTTTTACAGAATTTTCTTTCAGGTAAATAAGCATTATTATTCACTGTCACGTTGCTATTGCACTGGACACAAATGAAAAACATGTAATATTCCGCACTACTTCGTAATGTTTTCACAAGATTCGTATTCATTATTTTAAACAACAACTAAAAATGTTCAACCACTTCAATTTTTTTATTGTGCTATGCCAACGGGGTGCCGAGCCGTTTGTTCGCGATCTACGTCAAACCCCGCTTTCGTAGCAGACGCTGCCGTCCCTGAGCCCGCGCGCTATTTGTGCTCGGATTGGTCAGTGTTTTTCCTTAATAACTTTTTTGCAAAGGAAAAAGTTGTTAAAAATCACCCCAATTACCATCCTTTCTGGGAGTTCTGGGACACTCTGTATATTCGAACTGCATGCGGGGCGACCGCTTGCGAGAACACTGCCGCCGATCTCTCCGCCACCTAGCGGTCCCCGGCCCGAACTAAAGGCGTCCGGGGAGACGAAACCCTCTCGCCCCCTCCACTCAACGCCCACATATATACCTTTACTACAGTAAAAGCTGGATATATGCACAAACATTGGGACCCAGACGTTGCATATATCCAGTCGAGGTGTCGATTGGTCGATGCGTCCGTACACATCGTTTGTATTCAGCCGCGATACCTATTCTACGTTCGTACACAACATGCGACGTGTTGCATGTTGCATGTTGCGTGTTTGAGGCATCTTTGGTGTACGGTCTGCCTTATGTTTGGTATCATTTTAATCAGAAAAATCTCACAAATGCGTTAGTAAAAGTTTCATTAAGAAAAAGTTAGAAATAAAAAAGTTTTATCGTTCAATTAGTATTAGTCACGCCGATATTACGGTCGGATCATATTACACGGTTTCCTCGTCGAGCGGTTCAGTTCGCTGAAGGGGATCCCCCCAAGTGGAGGGGATAGCGATGTTGCATATATCCAGCCAAACTTTCGTTGCATATATCCAGCTTCTACTGTGTTAGTTCAATGTTGGGTTGCTACAGTAAAATTAATTATTTTTCTTTATGTGCTTACCATAGGTACAGTATGCTACATATTTAATAAAATGTCTTTTTTCCGTGTTTCTTAATTTTATTTATTATTGGGTCATTAATTACGAAACTTGACAAATGTTGAAATGTGAACTTTGATGTTTATTTCTCGTTCCGTACCGCATTTCAACAAAACAAGTTTTTGAATTTTGAATTTTATCAAAACCTGTTTTACGATGACTGATAATAAATTATTTTTGCTTGCCAAAAAAAAAATTAACAAGTTTATATACAATTTATCAAGTTTCATGCTTAATGACTTAATAATAATTTAATGATTATAAGCGATATAGGTAATTGTCAGAAATTGAACACCTTCTTATTATTAATTACAAGGAAATGGAATTCTATTTTCATAATATCAACATTCCTAAGAATTTAAATATTTTCTATTAAAATGTTGAAAGATTGTGTTAAATTATCCTAAATAGTTTTTTGTCAATCTTACAATTGAATGAAGTTTAAAGTAAACATCTGTAAAAAACCACCAAACATGTCAATAAGTGATATGAATTTTATTTTTATCCAAGACTTATAATCTCGATTTAAAGTGCTTGTCGTCTCGTTTATTTAACAAATATTTATAAACAGCTCTGAATTCGGAAACGTGCTATCATTGGAATGTCATTTAGTACCAGTTAGTGCATTTGTCCTTACTTTTTTGGCATGTTGTTTTGACTGACGTATTTTGTAGATATCTTACCTTAATACTTTTAATCGCTAATGATTTAAGGATATATTCTTATGTATACTTTTAAAGTCACTGCTTTTAGAATTTTGCACGTACAGGAACATTATTTTCGAGTTTTTAAATTTATAAATTTTTCAATTTTCAATTTTAGAAATATTAAATTTTCAAACCTGAAAATATAAAAAT